TACCATACGGAAACAGGTAAGTTCACATGCTAATTTAAATATGCATATATGTATACATTGTGGTAGTTTGAATGAAAATGGCCCCCATAGACTCACAGGGAGTGGCATTATTGGAGGTGTGGCCTTGTTGGGGGAAGTGCGTCACTGGGGGGTTTGAGGTTTCAGAAGCTTAAGCCAGACCCAGTGGCTCACCCTCTCTTCCTGCTGCCTGTAGAGCTTGATGTAGAACTCTTAGCTACTTCTCCGGCACCATGTATGCCTTTGTGCCACCATGCTTCCTACTGTTCATGATAATGAACTAAACCTCTGAACTGTAAGCCAGCCCCAATCAAATATCTTCCTTTATAAGAGTTGTAGTGGTCATGGTTTCTGTTCACAGCAATAAAACCCTAAGACATAAATACATGTGTGCATATCTATCACGCTAACAGTGTGATGTGATACAATTATAATTAATTCTTAAAAGGGGAAATCAGCACAGCAATTGTACAAGTAATGAAAGTAAGAGCAAAGAGGACATATAGTAGCACATTTTAAAATAATTATTGAAGTCAAAGGAAAATTAGCACAGTAATTAAGTCATGCCTTGAAAGCAAAGACAAGAGAGTAACTGACAATGTCTCAGGGATTCTGTCAAAACTTAAATACACAAGGGAGAGGGAAGCCCTTTATTATTAAATAGGAAAATGTGGGTATATGTTGAGTTTTGCATTCAATTCCAAAATGTAAAAATGTTCAGGGTATGGTGGTATGTCTATAATCCCAGCACTAGTGAAGAGGAGGATCAGGGGAGTTCAAGGCTAGCCTCACCTACATAGGAAGTTTGAGGATAGCCTGTGCTACATGTCTCAAAAACAACAAACAAAATCCCAAGAATTTACAAATGTATCAATAAAACCAACTTCAGAAAAGCATGGAGAGGAAATAATAAAAAGTAGAATGGGTTTAACAGAGCAGAAATAGAAAATACAGTTTAGAAACCAGAGTCCATAAAGACAATAAACAGATTGTCTGGGGCTTGTGGCGAAGAGCACTGGCTGCATAATAGTGCACACCTTTAATGCCAGGAGGAGGTCTCAGCGAGCTTAAGGCCAGCTTTGTTGTCTAAGTAGTGAGCTCCAGAACAGCCAGCGTTACATAGTGAGACCCTGTCTCAAAAACACCAGAAAAGGCAGAGAACAACAGAGGAAGACACCCAAGGTCAATCGTGGGCTTCCAAACATGCACGTGTAAGTAGGTGGGTACTCTAACACACATACACACATACTCACACACACACATTTTTTCAAAAAAAAAAAAATTCTAGAAAACATGAGCTAACAAAAGTCATGAAAGAAACTGACAAAGGGGTCAACAAATCAGCTTCCTAAAGGTGTTAAAACTTAAATGTTCCTACGAGCAACTTTACCTAATCATAAAGGAAGGGAAAAATTCCAGAGCCATGTAAACCTTTCCAGAGCAGTCAGTGTGTGTGTGTGTGTGTGTGTGTGTGTGTGTGTGTGTGAGAGAGAGAGAGAGAGAGAGAGAGAGAGAGAGGTACATATATGGTTTATGTGGTGTGTGTGTATGGGGTGTGTATGTGTTTGCTTTTGTATGTTTGTGATGTGAATGTATCATTTATGTGGTGTGTGCATATAGATGTGTAAATGTGTGTGTTTGCTTGTATCTATTTGTGATGTATGTATATGGTTTATCTGGTGTGTGAATGTTGGTGATGTGTGCGTACAGCTCCCCCATTCCTTTGAGAGGAAGTAGCATACCTTGACAATGAACTCAAACAACATGATGTGCAGAACCTAAGAGCACAGAGTGACAGACCTTTGCATTGGTGCATAAATTAGCAAAGACTGGAGCAAAGGTAGAGCATATCTGCTTCCAGCCAGTGTGACTTCATAGAAGCCCCAATGGTCACTAGGCTAACTTGCAACTGTAACTTATTTCCATCTAAAATTTCCAACAAAACAGATCAGTGCAAACACATTACACACCCAGCGCCAGTCAAGCCCCATGATCCTTATCTATTAGCTTTATTTTAGTTTGCATCCCAAACTCCAAAATCTGGAAAAATTAATAAACAGCATCAATGAACAATAGTTCACTTAGAAGTAGAACTTCAAAGATAAGTTTGATTTGGGAATTTACAAGACCCCAGTGTAGACTACTGTTTTCATTGTATCTTGAAAATAAAATCTCTGGAAGTTCAGATATACCTACACCTATATACCCTATACCCTATACCTCCCTATGCCATAACTCTCACAGTTAAGATACAAAAGTCATTTGGGGGTAATCAGGTATTTGTTAGAAAGACTGTCATTCCGACTGAAGTCCTGTGATGACCTCTCCAAGGAGACACATCCCTAAAAGCCCACAAGAGCTTATTCACTACAATTTCCCTAGTCACATATCAATTTGTTGTCTTTTCTTCACATTATATACTTGAAGTAAAATAATTTTTATTCATTAAAAGTCCTAAGATCTGCAGTGGCCAAGGCCATGCTGATGTCTGTGGTCCATTTTACTACCGAAGGCCAGGAGGTTGTCCATGGTTGTGCTGCCACCTGAAGCCATGTTGATGTCTGTGGTCCCTGCTGTCACCAGAAACCATCAATGGTATTGATGACTGCAGACTCAGAGTTGAGAAAGAGAGACATAGAAGGCTCTGTGACAATCTCTCCCCCATCCCCACCCCCAAATTAAAATCAAAGAAACAGTCTAGATATGAAGCCATCGAAGAGAACTCTTTAAAACTGTGATGAGCATGCTGAAGTGTAGCTCTCCACAACTGATAGCTTCTGGCAGGGGTGTGGGTGGGGAAGGACCCAGTTTTCATTAAGGGACTGGCTACCAGGAGTTTGACTATGCTCCAGTGAGTACATGAACAACACAAAGTGAACTTGGTATTTTTTTTCTCCTCCTCCTCCTCCTCCTCCTCCTCCTCCTCCTCCTCCTCCTCCTCCTCCTCCTGCACCTGGGAGAACTGGTGAGTGAATGTGATTGTGTGTATTATGTGAAATTTCCAAATAATCAATTAAAATATTATGTTTTAAAAAATGTCCAAAGATGCCTAACTTCCTAGTTGGTCTTTTGTTTTGTTTTGTTTTGTTTTGTTTTGTTTTGTTTGAGACAGGGTTTCTCTGTGACTTTGGAGCCTATCCTGGCACTCGCTCTATAAACCAGGCTGGCCTGGAACTCACTGAGATCCACCTGCCTCTGCCTCCCGAGTGCTGGAATTAAAGGTGTGCACCACCACTGCCCAGCCATAGTTGGTCTTATATTATTTCAATAGGCAAACTGCCTTATTATTTCTCCCTGATCTTAGGTTGTCATCTCACAGTGCATGGTGACATCGATATCTGAGGTAGGTTTTCTTAATGGGACACCAAACAACTAGTTACAGTGTAACTCATTTAAAGTGATAAATGGCACCAATTGCTGCTCAAAGTTTATAAAGTATTATTAAACATAAATTCCCTTCTTAATTGAACATTTTGGGGGTTTTGTACATATATATGCATACAGACATGTATGGGAGTGACCACAGAGGTCAGAAAAGGACATTGGATCTCCTTGAACTGGGGATGCAGATAGTTGTGAATTGCCACATGGGTGCTAGGAACCAACTCTCTGCAAGTACAGTAAGAACTCTTGTCTACTGAGCCATCTCTCTGGCCCTACAGTCTCTTCATAAAAAAGAATTGATGAGCTGTCGAGATAACTTTAGTTGGCAAAGAGCTTGCTGCAAGAGCCAGAACATCTGAGTTCAGATACCCACACATCTTACTCTAATTGGGTCGTATTTTTAATCCTGTGACAATTACATGCTTGGGTTTGCATGTGTTTGTACACTTGTGGGGGGGTGAGTGGGGGTTGCATTGTGGTGTGTGTGTGTGTGTGTGTGTGTGTGTGTGTGTGTGTGTGTGTGTGTTATGTGTAAGCCAGAAGGCAACACTGGATGTCCTAGCTCCCTGATTCAGCTAGACTGGCTGGCTGGCTGGCTGGCCAGCAAGCCCCAGGGATCCTTCTGTCTCTCTGTGCTGAGAACTACTCAGGGCTTTTAACATGGGTGCTGGGGATCCAGATTCAGGTCGTTGTGCTGTGTGCCCAGCATTTTACCAACTGAGCCACCACCCCAGCCTTTACTCCTCCTTCTCATCCTCCTCTTTCTTTTACACAGGGTTTCACTATGCAGCCCTGGCTGGCCTGGAACTCACTATGTAGAATATGCTGGCCTCAAAATCACAGAAATCCATTTATTTCCACCTACTGAATGCTAGAGTTAAAGGTGTGCACCACCACATCTTGTTCCTATTCCTACTGCTTAAAGCTCCTTTGGGTCCACTCCCCCATTTACCAATATGAACGTTTCTGCACCCGAGGGCTGCCTCCTGCTCCCACTTAACCACTCTTTTTTTTTCTTTATTTTTTATGTATACAGTATACATGTATGCATACACACCAGGAGAGGGAACCAGATCTCATTATAGATGGTTGGGAGCCACCGTGTGATTGCTGGGAATTGAACTCAGGACCTCTGGAGGAGCAGCCAGTGCTCTTAACCTCTGAGCCATCTCTCCAGCCCCCCAGTTAACCACTCTTGACCTGACTCCCCAGACAGAGCAGCTTATAGTAAATAAAAAGGTGACCTTCAGCCTCTGTTCCTCCTCTTCCTTAAGCAAGGGAAAGAAAGGCCTGATGGGCTTCCTAGCAAACATAAGCTGTGAGCCCTCTACTCCCTGTACACCTGCGAATCCATGACATCACCACCTAATGTCCCTTCTGTTACCGCCTACTTCTCTCCCAGGACTCAACTGAAAGACAGTCGCCAGTGCCACTCATCTGGATGACATCGGAATAACAATCTATCCTGTTGCTCTGGTTCTACCCACCAAGCAGCATCATCCCTCCACTCACACCAGCAGAAATCCCCTGCCCTGCCGGTTTCCCACATCCTGTGCTCAGAATTCTCCAGAAGGAAGTGCCACTTCCCTTCCACCTACCAGCTGTCTGGAAACCAAGGATGGTGGGCACAGAGCGCCAGGGAGAGACTGCAGAAATGCTCATGGTGTAATTGGCACCTTGTTGGAGGTGAAGGCACACTTCTGGGGTCCTGCTGTCTGTGGTCACATTAACTGTCTCCTCACGAACGGATTCCACAGCACCCGGCTGCTGTCTTTCAGTGTGTATCTTTAGAAGAGGAAAGACAAGAGAATCCACCATGACTCCAGTCAGACCAAGACTTCGTGGTGCTAGATGCTTTTTCTCTGCTGTCCTATTTCTGACACTGTGTAACCAGGGAGGAGAGATAGGTCCAGCTCTACCATGAGGGACCCAAGGACAGGGTCTAACCATCCCTGGGACCAATGGGTCCTAAGCTATGACGGACGTGAGAACTCTATTTAGGAGTGCTCTCCTGACCACACATGACTAATAAGTAAAGGAGGTCCTAGTACCAAATCAGCTCATGCTTCCAGCCTTGCTCAGGGAGAAAAGGACAAGTGCTTGGAAACAAGCAATATGAGGAGGCCAAACATAAATGTATGTTCCACGGTCACACTCTGTTGGATGACACACACATTAAACCTAAAATCTGCGTATGTCTTAAAAATCCCGTCCACTTTTTAAAGGGGCACTGGAACTGGAAAACAATTACACTGATGAAGCATCTTTCCATTTCTCATTCAAACCATACAGCTGGTAGACGGCAGCATTAAGCAGTATGACTTGGAGTTGCCCCTAGTTATGGAAACCGTCATCATTTTACCTTCATGGTTACTTATATAATAGTATAAAAGACCCATAAAAGAAAATGATTCTTTTCTAATGAGGGGAGGTCATCGCAAGTATCTTCTGAATTTGTCTTAGCTTTATGTTGGTCCTAACTGAAATGTCAATGGGTTTTTTCAAGAATCTTGGCTTAAGGAGGTATCACAAGAAAGTTTTCGAAATGAAGGACGTTCACCCAGACTTGAGCATGTAAGCAAGCCTCTACACCAAGTGACTGACTATGCTGCTTCATAAAAAATACGTAAAAATAACTGTAGCTTGTTATTATACATTTGCAAATAAATGTGATTTCACTTTATGTGACTGAAGAGAGGGAGGGAGGCAGAAGAGGGGGTGGGGTGGGGGGTGAAACTCCTGTGTGGGCCATATCCTCCTGGCTCACACTTCCATGTCTTCATTGGCAGGGTAGAGCAGCTCACTTTACTTACCATGTACATGATCTTAGAGTTTATGCTCTCTGGGCTTATTTGCCACCTCACGCAGGTATCATTAAACACAGACACATCATGAATTTCTATCATTATTTCTAGAATAGAAAAAAAAAAAGAATTGACTCATGAGCTGCATCAATGGACTTTGGGAAAATCCTGGTGGACTCTGCATCTGTCCAGCTGGTGTCTCCCCTGCTCTCCAGTCACACTGTGATTCAGTTGCAGAATTGAGCAATCCAAGCAATCCCAGATGGTACATCATGAATGAGCCTGGCCCACTGCCTGGCCAGACAAAAAAGGAAAAGATTACTGCCTGAGGGTGGGGAAGAACTCCAACTGTGATTAGCCTGATGGGCCACTGGATGCCACTGGTGTTCCATCAGGTAGGCTGGAGCAAGGTCCAGAACTGAGCTCTGATTGGAAGCTTCCTTAAAACCACACAGGAAAGATGAGCTTCTGCTTCCCTCATCTTACCCTGGGTGGCATGGCATTCATTCAAGCCACTGCTGTTCCTGAAAGGGAAATGGCACGTCCACCATGAAGGATGACTTTTCTTGGGATGAACTGAGGAAGCTCTCCAAAGAGCCCCTGATCACCCTGAGACTACTCTAGCAAAAACCATGCAATCTTGATCTGTTGAAAAGCCATGATTTCTCTGGGTTCTGCTTATTCTAAATAACCTGCATTTCTATTCCATGTGACGAATCTGGCAATGTGGGAAACACAGTTTCCAATGGACCCAGCCAGTCAACAACTTATAAAGTTGTTCAGAGTGGTATGGGGAAAATCTACCTTTTCATTTATTAAAATCAAATTTCCTATGGATATGTAAAGCTATTTCTATGTGCAAATGACATGATCTTATTTGCATACACTCCTAAGAAAATAAAACTTTAAAAAAAATGAAGGCTAAGAAAAGAGTTCAGCAAGGTTGAGGGATGCAAGGTTGCAATGCATTTCTGTACAGGAGAAATGGATGATTAAAGAAAATTAAAGTGATTTCTTTTACAATAAAAATCAAAAAGGAGGAAAAACACAACACTTTTAAGTTAGGCATCGCACTATCATCCCTGGAGACAAGAATTCTCATTTCATCCAAAAGGAAAAAGAATATTCCACGGCTCTGTCCCAGCTTTCCTGTGGAGCCAGACTTCTCATAGACTCCTGGGTCAAGTGTGTGCCAGTCTTGATGCACTTTGACAGCGTGACTGTGGCGTGCCTCCTGATCAGGGGCTTCCTTGCTGTGGCTCACACACTCCAGCACATGCAGCCTGGAAGGGGAGAGGAGGTAACCCATCTGGGGACAGGAGCTGGTGGACCAGTCACTGCCCTTTCCTCAGAATGCTGTACCAGCAGTGGAGCAGTCACTCCTACCAAGGGGAGACCTGGATGTTGTGGCATCCTTCAGCCAGTTCTTTCTTTTCCTTATTACCCCTCTTGGTCACCAATTCTGCTTCCTGGGATTTCACTCCATGTTACATAATAATACAAACCCCTGGTTCTGTTTTGGGAGAAATTCAAGCTAAGATCTGTGTCAAGATAAGTGAGAAGGGCAGCTTGCCTCATATGTGTGAGGACTTGTATCCTCAGAACCAAGGCTTGCTTGTTTGCTTGCATATTTATTTTCTGTGGTTAGCCTGATGGGTCACTGGATACCACTGATGTTCCATGCAGGGAAGCTGGAGCAAGGCCCAGATCTGGTTCAGGGTTGCATGCTTATAACCCCGACACTAAGATGGTGGAGACTGCTGGATCCCTGTCCCATCCTGTAGGTGAGCTCCAAGCCAGTGAAAGACCTCATTTCAGAAGCCCAAGTTTGGCTCCCAGAACCCACAGCAGACAGTTCACAACCACCTGTAATTCTGGCTCCAGGGCATTTGACACAGGCATCAGCAATCATTGCACTCTCACACAGACACATAAAAATTAAAACAGAAAAACAGATGGCTCCTGTGAACAATATCCAAGGCTGACCTCTGGCCGTGCGTGCGTGCGTGCGTGCGTGCGTGCGTGCGTGCGTGCGTGCGTGCGTGCGTGCGTGCGTGCGTGCGTGCGTGCGTGCGTGCGTGCGTGCGTGCGTGCGTGCGTGCGTGCGTGCGTGCGTGCGTGCGTGCGTGCGTGCGTGCGTGCGTGCGTGCGTGCGTGCGTGCGTAAATGAGAACTATTTACCTTGGGGATTGCATTCCTCTAACTAGCCCCTGTTCCTTCCCTATAGTAATTCTCTTCTCAGCCACCACAAGCATGAACCTTAAACACCTGCAGAGCTAACTCAATTCTCTTGTACAGAACCAAGGTCAAAACTGAATTCACCTGGTCTACTGATCTCTATACCCATCAATGCTTTTATACATTTACTAAATCATCCCGTCCTGGCATTACCTAGGATCTGTGTCCCACCATACCTATTTTGGGGTTATTCCAAGCTGTCTATTAATAAGTCAGAGTAAATTGAGGTAGAGAAGAAAACACAGACTTCTGTAGAGATACCAGAGTATCAGTTATGAAGCCTAAAAAATCCATAGATCTCTACATCAATGATAACATGAAAAAAGGAATCCAGTTGCCAGCATGAGTAAACAAAGAAATGTGAGGACCTCGTTGGTTCGCCTCCTGGGGTAGCAAAGATGATGTTGATACCAGTGTACCAGTCTGAATAAACTTCAATTATTCCTGGCCACTTCTGCTGATGCCCTTCAAAACCCCAGAACTTTCAACATCTCTGCTCACTTAACAGCCTTCTGATGATAACTCAGCAGCTGGTCCAGGGGAAACAGAAGTACCCCGCCCCCAGCTTCTCCCTGAATTGCCAATAAAGCAAACAGCCTTCCTATTTGGATTGCCTGTGTCACTCAAGTAGAGATTAGAAAAGGGTTTCCTTTCTTGTTCTTCCTTTTTGCTCATTCACTATGACAACTGTAAATGACGTCTCAAAGATGCCATCTGCCTCTAGCCTGTGCCACACACTGCACAGATGGGACCCAGATCTGATTACAGAGATGCCAGATAATTCCACCCCAAAGAGAAGCTGAGCAAAGTTGGTGACTCTACCTGCCATGTACCTACAAACAGGAGGAAAAGATGTTTTTATAAAAATATCAGGTGTTAACTGTCTGCATCAGCACTGCCCTTTGAAAATACCATGCTTGTATGCCAATTCTAACTATGCCAGTAACTGAAAAAACACATACAGGCTGACAAGACGGCTCAGTGGATAACGGCACTTGCCAACAAGCTGGCTGACCTGAGTCTGATCTTAAAACCCTTTGGTGAGAACGCCTGCCCATAAGTTGCCCTCTGCCCTCCAGATGTGCACAGTGGCATGAATACACCCCCCCACACACTCAAATGCCTAAACAAGTGTCACAAAAAAAAAATGGAAAAGCAGGAAGAAAGAACAGAAGAAAAATGTGGAAAAGCCTTTGAAGTGACCTCTTTTTCCATTCACTGCTCACTATGTACAGAGCAGCTACCCAATGCCAAGCATCTGACTGTGTCAAACACAGGGCTGTGAGGAGCACTAGACCTCAGTTTTCCCCTCGAGGAGCATGTTGCCTAATGAAAGGGGCAATCACAGATGCAGGCAAATCGCAGCTCAGTAGCATTATCACGGGCTCCACACAAACCTTGAAGGGTACGGAACAGGAAGATCTCACTGGAGGACCCGGGAAATTCAGTTCCATGGAGGGCACAGCCTTGGTAGATAAATGGCTGCAGAGTAGGGAGCACACACAAGCAGAAAGAACAGCAGGTCTGAATACCATGCTAGTGGAGTAGTGAGGGGGATGTCAGACTGCACAGAAAGGAGGCTACAGAGGACACACAGGATGGAACAGGGAAGGGCTTACTTGCCGGATTCAAGACAGACACTCCTCCAAACAGAGACAAGCTTCGGGTAATGATAGGAATGGTTTCCCATTTGGAAGGAAGCACTAGAGTGCAGAAGAACCGGAGGTCATAAAATAGAATATAATACTATTTACTCAATGACAACTATATGTCAGGCTCGGACTGCTCTCGACAGACTTGATCTCATTTTCCCAGCAGTCATAAGAAGCAGTAATAGAAACAATAAGAATGAACACTTATTGAGTTATAACTATGGGCCAGAGAGTGTGCACAGGACTTTAACCTTCAAAATAGCCTGCCGACTAGACATCACCATGTCCATTTCACAGACCTCAGGCTTGGATGTTAAGGAATATAGTATGAGGGACTGAGTCTGGACTCACAATTAGACATGTCACACCCCACCACTACCAGCCTTTGCACTGAAGTAGATACTCCAACAGGAGGTTAAGGCATGAAATCGGGGTGCTGTATTACGAAACAAGAAACAGTTGTGAAGGAGATGAATGGGAGGTGAGGGAGCAGCAACAAAGAGGAGTCCAGGCTGACTGCCAGCCTTTGAGCTGGATGAAGGGCCCTTCACTGCTCTCCAAAGAAACACGAGCAGAGGCAGAGCCGACCTGTAAGAGGGAGCGATGAACTGTGTCGAGGACATGCTAGATACAAGCTGTCTACTAACTGTCCAATGGAAAAATAGCTTTAAAAGCAATGGATTTGTGGGTGGAGGTAGAAGCCACAGGCGAGTGAAAGGAAGACATACAAGTAGGTCACAGAGAGGGGCTCAGTGGCAGAGCCCTGGGAAACATTGATGCCCAAGGAGACCCAGGGAACAAGGGCAGTACAGGGAAGAGGAAGAGGAGTGGCTAAGAGAAAGCAGGCCCAGGAAGTGAATGAAAGGAAGGGCATGGCGGCGTGTCTCTTTTGAAGCAGCCTCCCTTAGTTCTCACTCAGCTCCCTTACTCCATCCAGGTTGGGTGCAACATGTCATTAAGGGCCAGGGAAAGGTCAACCTCCCTGTCTCCCACCCTGTAACATTTTTCCTTGAGGAAATGCCCACTCAGTCATGCTTAGATGTGGGCTTTGACCTTGGATCTGTCAAGCTATAGGACATATAGGCATCTCCAATTTGACAAAAAGAAGGATCCTACAAAGCTTGACTATAAACAGTCTAATTCTTTCTTTTTGTTAAATCCTAAGTCAAAGTCATGTAAAATGAGTACAAGTGGCATGCTTAATTTCCTAAAGTGAATTACATAGTTTATGGTGATTATTTTGTGGCATATGAATAAATGTTTATATGTTCATTGGGTGTTAGTTTTTTTGTGTGCACATTAGGAAAAATACATCTAGCTCATCAAAGTCATGACATACCACATACTACTAGGAATTCTTGTTTGGTACACTAAAACATCTAATTGGGGTGGCTCCCTTACAGTTTCAGAGGTTCAGTCCATAATCATCATGACGGGGAGCAGGGCAGCATGTAGGTAGGTGCGGTGCTGGAGTAGTAGCTGTGAGTCCTACATATTACGGGCAACAGGAAGCCAACTGGAACACTGAGCAAAGCTTAAGAAAAGACCTCAGAGTCCGCCTCCACAGTGACATACTGCCTCCAACAAGACCACACCTCCTAGTAGTGTCTCTCTCTTTGGGGGCCATTTTCTTTCAAACCACCACATCAGACATGGTGATATATGTCTATAGACTTAGCTGCTTGGGAGGGCTAGGGCAGGGTGGTCTGAGAACAGGAGTTTAAGAACAGCTTGAGAAACACAGCAAAACTCCATCTCAAATGTGCCTGTGTGTGTATATATTATATGTGTTTATATATAAATATGTTATTTAAAAAAAACAAGCTATGCAGATAATTCTTTATTCTAATATCATCAGGGTGGTATGCAAATAAAAGCTTGGAAGAACATGAATAGGAAAGTGTGGGATTCCAGGGTCCCAGACTTGAGTTCAAATCATAACTCCATCAAGTACTAGTTACAGAATGACCCTAAGAAAATTGCTTCACTGCCATGAGTCTCAGATCACTCAGCTATGAAATGAAAATATTTGCCTTACAGATTTTCTCTGAGGATGAAATGAAACCAAGCATTAAGGACCCCAAGAGAACCCTGGGTGTGCAAGCTGGTGTTCAGTGAACACAGCAATGATGTTTACAGTCCAAATATTATACACATATTCAGACCCAACCCAGCTGTGCCTATTGTAGTAACATGCCAATTTACCCCAGCCAGCTTTTCCTGTCCATTTAAAATAGACAGAGCTGCAAGTGAGCATTCACTGGGCTGGCAAGGAGGGTTGACAACCAAGGAAGGGCAGAGGGAAGAGGGGCTTGGTAGCATTTGCAGTAGTATGCAACAAATTATGGGATGCCGAAAGGATCCTGGCAGATCAGCAGTCTGTGTTTCAACAGAGTTGTTAACCTCCCTAGAGCCTGAAATGATGGAGAGCCAGAGCATGGAGGGTTAACCTTGTAATTATTAACCCAGACTCTAAACATAAAAGCTAAATGACCTGTGCAGGATGGAAGCCGGGGACAGCCTTATCAAGAATGAATCGGCCTCTTTGATCTTGAAGTAAACTGACTCACTAAGGCGAAGCTTCCACCTCGGGTTTTTCCAGACACTAAAGTACTTGCCTAATTCCCAGCTGTCTGGAATTTCTAGTTCAAACTGGCCTGAGAGAAAAAAGTCCCACCACTTTCAGCCTTAGAGAAAAAAGTCCTACCACCTTGTCACAGTTCATACTCCATGAAAAATATTATACATCTGTGCCACTAACACAGAGGCATGGGGGCTCCAAAAATATTCGACAGTAAATAAAAACAACCTGTGTACAGATAATCCATTCCACCCAGCTTGGAATTAAACACAGAAGTATAGACAGAGGAGTAAATGGAGTGAAAACAAAGAAGGATGATAGCGGGAAAAGAAGCTAAATGTGAACACTGAATGAAGTAAACACAAAATACACAGGGGCCGTCAGGCTAGGGGGATAAGGACACTGATGAAAAACAGGGGGAAGAAAAAAGAAGAGGGGGCAGCCAAGCAAGAGCCATGACAACCAGCATCTCTCACTTTTCCAGAAGCTTCTCCAGCCTCCCCTTCCATGAATTAATCAGCATGTAAATCACTCCCTTTATCTGTGAAAATTGAATTTAGCTGCCAATCCTGATGGAGGGCACACAAGCCTCCTCACAGAAAGAGCCTAGCTCCCAGGGAGAATGCCTTTTTCTCTCCTTAAATCAAAGCTTGCATAAGCCCATGGAACAGCTGCAGCTGGAGCCAGAGCCTTAGTGAAAGGTAGAAGGCTGAGGACAGTAATTATAATTAGCGGTTACATAACATGTTTGTTCTTCAAAGTGCTGTACAAGGATCAGCTAATTAATAGCTTACTGTGCCCCATGCAGATCCCCTGGTTTTTCATGTAGTGACTAATCCTTGTGCCCCCAATGAATTCTGAACGGTGGTAGCAGAGGACCTTGAGCAATGAGGCAAATGGCAAAGAAGCCACAGCTATACCCATCTCTCTTACCAAGTGATTCCTGGGGAACAGCTCCTGGAGAAAGCTGCCTTACCCTCCAGATAAGGGTTGGAGCTGCTGGTGTAGATGTGACAGAGACCATCAGTCTAGTTCAGTTTGGTCTTAGAGAAGCAAGAAGACCGGGCTCTGGAGTCCTTGGTCTGTGCTATAAGCTTGGCCTTGCTTCTTTGCTCAGCCAGTGAGACATCTCCAGAACAAGCTGGTCTAGATCTCTGGGTTCTCATCTTCTGTTTTCTCCCCACTCTCTAGCCTACATCTTTTGCATTTATGATGGAGATAGCTGAATATAAGAATTTTCTGTCTACTCCAAGGATTCTTTACCCACACTTCCAGCAGTCTGTGATGGTTTGAATTTCTTTACAAAACATTAGGCGCACATATGAACATTCATTTCCTTGGGGAGAGGTCTGATTCCTTTACCACACCGTAAATTCCAAAAAAGTAGTGCTTCACACATAGTGCACACCAAATAGAAATCTTTGGGATGAATGGATGGGTAGGATAGGTATCATCAAGTTCTCTCTCTCAGGGATGGGGAAATGGCTCAGTCCATGAGGTGCTTGCCACACAAGTGTGAGGACCTGAGGTCAACACTCAGAACTCCCATGAAAAAGTAGGGCATGGTGGTCTACTCCTGTAGTCCTTGTGCTAAGAAGACAGGTACAGACAAATCCCTGGGGTTCACTGGCCAGTCAGGTTATTCTAATTGGTAATCTCTGAGTCAATGAGAGACCCTGTTTCAAAAAAAAATAATAATAAGGTAGATGGGTCCTGAGAAGCAGCATCTGAAGTTGACTTCTGGCCTACACACACACATGCACACACCTGTACATGTGCAAATGCACCTGCATAAACACATACACAGAAAGAAAGAAAAATATAACTAGAGATGTAGTGTTGTGAGGGAATAATCTTTTCGTACCCTGTGAAGATGTGTCTCTGCCAAGTCACCTTATGGTTGGTTTAATAAATAGCTGAATGGCCAATAGCTAGGCAGCAGAGGATAGGCAGGACTTCTGGGCAGAGTTAGGAACTCTGGGAAGAAGAGAGGTGGGATTTGCCAGAAAGACATGGAGCAAGTCAGATGTGCAGTATGGAGGAGAGGTAATTGAGCCACGTGGCAGAACGCAGATTAATATAAATGGGTTAATTTAAGTTTTAAGAGCTACTTGGGAAAAAGCCTAAGCTAAATCCAAGCTTTCATAATTAATAAGAAGTCTCCATGTCATTATTTGGGAACTGGCAGTCCAAAAAAGTCCAGCTACATAGTGTTTTGTATGTGTGTGTGTATATATATACAATAGGATATTTCTCACCTTTAGAAAGTAGGGAAATGGCATATCCTACATTGTTGGTGTAGCTTAAAAATAGTATGCTAGAGCCAGGCATTGGTGGCCCACGCCTTTAATCCCAGCACTCGGGAGGCAGAGGTAGGCAGATTTCTTGGAATTCGAGGCCAGAGCGAGTGCCAGGATAAGCTCCAAAGCTACACAGAAAAGTCCTGTCTCAGGAAGAAAAACAAAAAAGGTATGCTAAAGCAAAGGGGTAGGGTATCAGGGTGCCACACACCTATACTCCCAGAACTCTGGAGGCAAAGGCAAGTGGATCTCTTTTAGTTAAAGGCCAGCCTGGTCTACAAAGTAAGTTCCAGGACAGCCAGAGCTTTTATACAGAGAAACCCTACCTCAAAAAACAAAGTAAGTATTCTAAGTGAAGTAAGCCAAGCTAAAAACAGACAAACAAAAAACCAAAACAAAACTCAAGTATCACATGATTCTACTTCTATAGAATGCCTAGAATGGTCAAATTCCTTCAAAATGGAAAGCACAATGGAAGGGTGCCAGGGTCTACGGGGAGGAAGGAATTCCAAGTTCCAGTTTTAAAAGATAAAAAGTTCTGGAGATTGGTTATACAAAAATATGGATAAACATAACACCAGTGAATTGCATACTGAAAAAGAATCAATATATTTTTTGTGTTTTGACACAATTAATAAAACTTAACTCCTTGTATTTTGCTATCTTTTGTCTAAAAAGCTGTCATGCCAAAATGTGCTAAGTCTGAGAAAAAGGTTCATAGAATAGACTTTTCTCAGCTGGTTAAGGAGAGAAGGCAAAAAATATGGTGAATTATGGTATTTCAAAAGATGAATGTGTAAAATTCTCTAAATATCTTATTTTAGCAATCCATCTTGTAAATCATCAAGATTAAGCTAACACATTCAAACCCAAGAGCCTACCCAAGTAAAGGGCAGAGGCAGGCACAATGCAGAGGGAGGCAGCTCTATACTGCACGCTCCTTCTGCTGTTGTGTTCCCAGGTAGCAGGAGCCCAGCAGAACGGAATCTGTACCTGTGCACATGTAAGTGACTTCACTCCAGGAGCCTTTGTCTGTACAAACAGAAGAGATCTTTGCTCCAGGACTCTCAAAGCCTTCCTGACAGACATAGTGAGCCACACTGCCCAGGCTGGAGGTGTGATTCCCCACCAAGATGGCATTCTGGACTTCGGGAGGTCTGCCACAGCTGATCTCTGCAATGAGAGGCAATGGTACACCTGTGATGAGCCCTGACTTCCATGCCAGCAATTAGCATCTCAGAAATAAACATTTCATGATGACAGGGGCCATTCGTCTGGGAAAAGAGAAAACACAAACTCCCTCAAATAATTCAAATATAATTATATAAAATTAAGGTTGCTCAGAAGTACAGGAAACCGGTATGCCTGGATTTAATGAAATTTTCAAACGTGCACACAGAGAGAGGAGCTGAATTATGAGATGGCTTACTTATAGAGCTCCTTGTCTATGAAATACTTCTTAGGGTTCATTTACATACTAAAGTTCCGTAGAAATTTTTACTGTGTAACGTCAGATCATTAACTCTTGAGTTGGTGATAGGGCATAGGAGCGACTGTCATCAACTGAATAGTAAACAGAATACTACAAAATCTTTGACATTCTTAAAGCAAAGTGATGCAGAGAAAAGTGTTTATCTTTCCCCATTCAAGTTACAGGCAATTCTCAAGAGGGAAGGACGCTTTCAGAGAGTTAGATCAGAATCAGACAGTATTAAACTGATGTAAAGTTTCCCTTCCACACTTAACAGTGGACTATTTGCACAGAACTTTATGTGGAAGAAAGAGTGTGATTTAATGATCTGAGTCCATCCAAACCAACTTTCAAAACATCCTGTGTATCTTTTCTGACAAAAGTTCAAAAGAATTTATTAAAATATTGACTTAATAAGTACTTCTAAGCTCAGCACTTGGGAGACTGCAGAGTGAAACATTGTCTCCAAAACCAGATACTTGTTGAATGAACAGATAGTTTCTTAGCCTCCTCCTCTCACCCTCTGGCTGCAGACATTGTTCATGGTTTCTGAGCTTTCCTGTTTTCTTTTTGAAATCTCACTGACTGGGTGGCTTCAATGATGGGGCTCACCTTTCAGATCTATGCCAACTTTGCCAGCATCCTTTGCTCCCCTCCGCTTTTTTACTCATTTCAGAAAAAAAGGACACAAGATAAATGCAAGTAAGTATGAATGGATATGCAATTCTGTCTTTAATATTGAAACATCAGAAACAACCCAAACATTTATCAAAAGAGAACTGGGTGCTAGATGTAGTGGCCCTGCCTACAATGCCAGCACCCGGAAGGGGAAGGCAGGATAAATAGGCATTTAAAGTCAGCCTTGGCTACAAGAGGCCCAAGAAGAGAAAGAGAAAATTAGGCAAATAAACCACAACACTACTGAGCAAGTCATAGAAAGACTAGAAAGATTCTCACACTGGTGTGGAAAGATGCCCATGATATAAAGGCAGGGAATTGAGTCAAACAGTGGGCTTCATCTACATACATAGAAGTCTCTTTGCATGTTTTCCTTCCTTTGATTCCAACGTTAATTACATACATATGTTAAGAAATGGATTGTATAATGTGTGTTTCAAAACATATATAGGAACTTGAAAAATTCTGGTTAGTGTCTGTTAATGGACTCTGACAGTTCCTACCCCTCTTCCAATCAAAAGTAACCTGGTCTGATAAGAAAAGGAACCAGAATAGGTATATCTTAAGAAGTGGGGCAGAAAGTCAGACAGTGGTGGTGCACACCTTTTATCCCAGCACTCGGGAGGCAGAGACTGGACCTCTGTGAGTTCAAGGCCAGCCTGGTCTACAAAGCAAGTTTCAGAACAGGATCCAAAGCTATGGAGAAATCTGTCTCAAAAAACAAAAAAAGGAAGAGAGAAAGAAAGAAAGAAAGAAAGAAAGAAAGAAAGAAAAGGGGAGACAGGTGTTCATGTGGATGAACAGTGAAATTGGCAAGGTACACAGGTCTCTAAAGCCATTTAAATTGGACCACTTGATACAACACTCTTAAATGATTCTAAAGGTGAGCAACATCAAACTATTAGTAACAGAAACACAATTCCAAAGTTTTTCAATAAACATAAGAGGACAGGGAATGTGGCCCAGTCATAGAGTATCCTCAAAAAGAAAGAATAGTAAACAGGAAAGAATAGTAAACATAAGAGGACTGGGGATGTGGCCCAGTTGTAGAGTGCCCTTTCAAAAGCACGCTGGAAGTCCATCCTCATCCCCACCACCACTAAACAGAGAGTAGGGTGCCTGCCTGTACCCCAGTGTGAAGGAGGCAGAAGCAGGAGGATCAGAAGTTCAAGGTCAGCTTTTAATCCCAGCACTTCGGAGGCAGAAGCAGGAGGATTTCTGTGAATTCAAGGCCAGCCTGGTCTACATAGGAAGTTCCAGACCTGCAGGAGATAGACTGAGAAACACTGTCTCAAAAATAAATAAATAAATAAATAAACAAACAAATAAATAAATGGGTTCAAAGTCACACACACACATACAAACAGGCACACAAACACACAGGCTTGCACACATACACACACATTCGCTCACTCGTGAACACACACATTCATATATGCCCACACACATATAGGGCACAAGGGAGAACTATAGTAATTCCATATGTAACCAGTAGTCTCAGCTACACCTAAAAATGAAAAGTTTGGGGGGAATCCTTATGCTATTCATTTTGATTTTTAGTTTTCTACTTTATCTGTAGAAAGCCAGAAAATGTTGCCTTTCCTGACATCCACACCATTAAAATAAAAGTTCACTCACTGAGCTAAAATATTCAGAACAAAAAAAAATGATATTCTATGTTCCCACAGCCCCATAAACCATGCTTGGTCTTAGGAGCAGGTAGCCTTACCAAGCATGCTGGTTTAAGCTGTCAGCCCAGGTACACAGGAGGCTGAGGCAAGATCTCAAGCCCAAGGACTGTCTGAGCTGCACTGTCAGTTCAAGGACGGATGGGAAAATGCAGTGAAACCTTGTTGGGAAACAAAAAACAAAATTTGGGACAGGGGTATAGCTCAATGGGATAATGCTTGCCTAGCACGCACAAGGCCCTAGGTTCAATCCCCAATACTACAAAAAAAGAAAGGAGGGTGGCAGTGGGGTTCTCTTACGTCCTTAATACAAAATCCTGGATCTAATGAATTTGAAGTAGTCACTTCCTAGATCAGACTCTCATCTGTTGCTATTGGAGTCATCCAAAGAGCTATACTAAATACAACATCCCAGCCAACCTCATCACTATTCTGGCTGAAAGTTAGCTTCCAGTCAACACAAATGCAAATCGCAAGCAGTTATGGGACCGGAATGAAGTGATCACTTTATAAAGTCCCATATCTATCTATTTATGTCCCATGTTTGCTTACAGGGCTCTGTTCTCTTTTCATACATGTTTACCAAATACAAGACACATTAGCCTTCAGGTTGTTTTCCCAGTATCAAACCTTTACTGGCCCCAAACATTGCCAGTCATTGGTATTATTTGTGTGTACAAGAGCAGTCGACCAAACAAGTAGTTAATGTTTTCTAAGACTGCCCAGTCACTTGCATACAAAATTTCTAGTTTAATCTAGGATTCAGCTAGAGCAAAGAGAAGAGGAAATAACAGAGAAGGGCTGGAAATGGAAACGTCAATGAAGAACTGAAGCTGAAAATACAGCTGTGTGTACCTTGAATATGAACACTCCTAAAGATCTCAGTGGGGAGGTTAGAAAAGGAACCCAGCAATAGCCGAATTATTAGAGGACTGTAGGTTCTAAGAGAATAAGGATACAGAAGACAATAAGGTGGGCTTCCATCTTAAACATATTCCAAGAGCAATGGAAAGCATGATAACTTTAGTTGTGGTTGCAAGAAGTTTATAACTTGTAGTAAAAATCATTACCAATCATTGGCTTGGTCTCTCTAGAGAGGAAGATGCAAAGGCAGACAGTACCTGCAGCTCTGTGAGTTCCTATTACAGAGATGTTCAAGTTGCACAATCCCTTGGCAGAAGATATTTAGAAATGCCCTGTGATTCGGATGAAACACACTGTCCTAAGCACTTACCAATAAGCACCACACAGGGAGTGCATGAAAAGCATGCATGTTGACTAGTAGGGCTTTAGTGTTCCACACTTGAAGACTTGTTCTTGAGCCAATGGCACTGTTTGGAGAGATTGCAGAACCTCTGGAACGTAGGCCCAAACTGGGAGACATATACTACAGGGCATAAGTCTAGGACAGTACCCTAGCCCTGCTTCTAATCCCTTCCACTTCCCAATCCTCTAAGACGTAAGGTATGGTATGAGCTCCTGGCAGTCATGGATAGAACTAGCCACCATGTTTTTCCCACAATGAAGGACTATTTTCCTTGAACTATGATTCAAAACAAACCATTCTTCCCATAACTTGTTCCATGAGTTGTTTCGTCACAGCAACCAGAAGAGTAAACAGACACCAGTGCCAGAAAGTGAAGCCATAGCTGTATTATCTTGACTGTGTGGTTCATAGGCCTTCTGAACTAGTTTGTTGGACAAATGTTGAAGAATTCAGAGAAGCCTTATTTTGCTATAAGTCAGTAGTTCTCAACCTTCCTAACGCTCTGTCTCTTCAATACAGTTCCTCATGTTGTGGTGACACCAACCATAAAGTTACTTTTGTTGTACTTCGTAACTGTAGTTTTGGTAATGTTCTGAACTGTAATGTAAATATCTGATATGCAATCCCAGTGAAGGGGTCTTTTGACCCCCAAAGGGGTCATGACCCACAGGTTGAGAACCACTGCTGTCAGTAGCACTTAGTGGGTCCTTCTAGAAGAAGCTGGGAAGATCAGAACACCAAGAGAAGTGACAGTGAAGGCCCAGATCATGAGGCTTCAGAGAACAGGGATTCTGTTGAGATTGAGCAAAGGGCTATTTGTGTCATGCTCTGTCAAAGAGTCCAGTTGTGTTCCACCTGGCTCCTCAAAGTTCCAATGAGGCTGAATCTGAAAGTACTATGTTAACTTGTTTGCTAGAGGAAACTTCAAGATATCATAACATTAAGAAACAACATGGTCAGTTCATTGTCGTCACTGCTCAGAGTCATCTGACACCAGTGATCTGCACGCCAGACCGAACTTGGTGGTGGGATCTGACACACCAGGACCCCGGTGGCAGTTCTGTCTCCA